AAAGGGGATTGTAGTAAGAAAATGTGTTCTGTATGGAACCACTTCTTTGAAATTAATGTTATCTTTAATAGACGCACATCCTAGTTCAGTTTGGCTACATCTTGGTCCTGACTCAGAAACTTCTGGGCACCTAGGTACTTAAATTCCAGCTATGCATAATTTATACCTTGGTTTTGCAAAAAGATTAGATTAATAGATTAGACTAAATTTTTTTATTTAATAGAGTTTCTTATATTTCATTTCTGCCTCTGGAAATACTTGTTTTTATTTCCTGCCTGAAGTCGAGGTGTTAATGTACGTTCTCAGCTCTTGGACTCTGTTCTGTCCAAGCTGAAGCTTGAGGACAGGTGACTGCCTCGACTGCCAGTTTGTTTCAGCTTAGCTGATGGGCAGGGGTTCATGCTGTGCCTGCAGCTGCTTCCTTTCAGTGGCATTTGTTAATTAAGCTGTTTAATTTTACTTTCTTAAGGACTGGTTGAAGAAAAGGAAAGAAAGAAAATTTTAGTTTGTGGTTATACCAGGGCCTTTTAGCCTAGTGCTTATTTTGCGTATCCATTTCATTTTTGTTTTGTTTACAGAAAGTAGCATTGACTTGAAAATTATCAAAATTAAATAATGAGTCAGAAATTAAATTTTATCCCTCCCCTAACGTCTCAGGTATTGGTAATTGAAGGGGTCTGGGCATCATGGTTTGTGTGGGGAGGCAGGTCTTTTTAAAAGAAAGAGTATCTCATCTGGGAAGCAGAAGACCTGCGTTCAGATATTGCCTCTTTGCCTTTTGTCAGGTGACTTTTGACAAGTTGTTTAGTTTCTGTGAGTCTCGGTGTCCTTACCTATAAAGTCTAGTATTTATAATCGCAGCCATTGAGGGTGTTTATGCAGCTACAGTGTAAAGCTTGGACAAATGTGAAGTGCTAGGATCATGATCTTTACCCAACTTACGTAGTGTTTTACTACTAAAGGCTAAGTCTTTTCCACTTATGTGTTTCCCTGGTTTGTTTTTGAGCTGGTCTAGTCAGTTCATTCATTTGTTCAGCATTTATTAAACACCTGTCTTGTGCCTCATACAGTATTAAGCCCTGGTGATACAGACAAGAGGGGAGTGGGACTAGTTCAGGTCAGTGGCTGTGTCACAGCAGGGGCTCTGAGGACTGGAGGGCATGTCCCCATCGATGGTCAAGCTCTGGTGTCAGCAGACTTTCTCTGTTAAAGGCCAGACGGTGAACACTTCAGGCTTTGCAGGCCGCATATCGCCTGTCACATTTTTTTTTCCCCTCTTTAACCCTTTACAAAAGTAAAATGCATTCTTAGCCAAGGAACCATACAAAAACTGGTTGTGGACCAGATGCAGTGGCCTCTGCAGGTTCTAACTGTCTGAAAGGATCTGTAGAAGTCGAGTGGAAAATGGGAAGCAGGAAGGGCCTTCAAGACAGGACCCGCCCTTTGCAATGGTGTGGAGGCGTGAGGAGCCAGGGTTTGTGGAGCTGAATGTCTCTGTCAAATCTGGAGTACAGGACAGGTTGGGTAGAGGAGGAGGTGAAGTTGGCGTTATAGGCAGGATCAAAGCAGTTTGTACTTGATTCTGATATAGAACAGATTTGTACGGTTGGAGGAGGTTTGGACTGGATCAGCGTGGGCGGTGTTACAGTAAAGCAGTTGAGAAGGGGGAGGAAGCACACGTTTGTCACTCAAGAAATGGCTGCCCGGTGTCACTTGCTAGTAAAGTGACGGGCAGAGTTCAGATGGTCCAGTTCCACAGCTTGTGTTCTTTTAATCATACAATTATGTTGTACAGATAAATGGAGAAAGCCTTGATCAAGGGCATGACTGAGGAACGGGAGAGAAGGGGACTGATTTGAAGCCCGTTTCTGAGTTAATCTCCAGGCCTCGACCAGGCAAATGACGCGGCAGGGCTGCGAGAGGGGTCCAGGGTAACTCTGGGACAGCTCCCAGATTTCTCCTGGGGTGACAAGTTCATGAAGCTCTCTTTGCTCTTGAGTTTACTAGGGATCACGGTTGCTTTGAGGAGGAAACATTGTTTCCTAGGTCCATGAGCCCCAGAAATTAAGTTGTAAGCAGAATTGTGTGTAAATGTATGTTGTTTTTCCCTGGGGAGAGAACTCTAGGGCTCTTGATGGATTATTAAAAGGGAGCCCAGCACCCAGGGGTGTGGCTCCTTGTTGTTAGATTGTATACTTCTGGCACTCTGCAAAGGTTTAAGCTAATCATCCCAAATCACAGGGGTTTTACTTTAAATGTAATACATCCCAAACTGCCAGCTAAACCCCAAACACATGCAGCCCCTCCGAAGTGGAACTGTATCCCCAGCTTTTCCTCCCTTCCAGAGACAAAACAAGACACGTTTTTGGTACATAGAAGGCTGGCCAGGTGTGTGGGACTCCAACGGTCCTGGAATGTTTTCAACATGCTATTGTACGTTAGAGCTGAAGTTTACATACTGTTAGGCATCTCTTAATAGTCACATGGCTGTGAGAGATGGACAGGTGTCACCTTTAAGTAGGATTTGCTAGCACCAAAAATGTGTGTAGTTTCTTTGTAGGAATGTGTGACCTCAGGCCCCCAGCTAAATTAAGGCGGCCTAATCAGGCAGGAGGTTCTGAGGGCTCAGCGGTGACTTCCCAGGAGCTGTGCGCTGGCAAGACCTTTCCCTGGGCAAGGTTCATGCTTTACTGCACAAAGCCTAGAGAGGTTAATTATTATTTCTGTCATTACTAGGGAGTTCAAGGAATTATTGCCTTTAGATAGAAGATATATGTTGCAGCCACACGCAGTATAATTCACCACAAAACTGAAAAATCAGAATTTCTACACCAAAGTAAAGATGTCTCCAGAAGTGTGTCATCCTTGACACCTGTCCTAATGTTTTTATAAGGGACTTGAATAAAGATCAGGAGTCATGCTGGGAGACAGCTCCCTTTTAGGATCAGAATTTTAAAATATTTTGACAGGTTGTAATGAAGTGCTGAAATCAATAAGGTAAAATTAAAATTTATCAGGAATAAATGTAAAATGCAGACATAAATCAAAAAAGATTAACTGAGAAAGTTGAAGATGGGTGAAATATGTCTTAACTGTACCTGTGTGTAGAAGACAGGGGGATTTAGTTGACTAAAACGGATTGTCAAACATTTCTGTAAAGGCACACAGTTTCCATAAAAGGAAATATCTTAGGTTTTTCAGACTAATAGGCAAAATCAAGGGTATTATGTAAATAAAAATAAAAAGAGAGAACACAGAATTTCTACAAATTTTTCATGGACAGAATTCAAATTATAACTGAATATAATTTTTTTTATAATACAGGTCCACTAATGAGAAGAATGGGATTCTCTTCTGGGGGAGGAAGGGGATAACACTTTCCTTAATTGGAGTTTTGAAGTTACTGCTCCCTGTCATTGGAGTCAATTACAGATATTCATCTCTTAATGCTGATATGCCCAGGAGGTTTTATGTGTTTCACCTTTGAAAATGTCTTTATGCCGATAGGTACTCTCAGATCCTGATATCAGTGCAGGAGTATATCATTTTAATTGAGCATATTCATTGCTTGGAAGGCATTTATAGAATCCTATTAGGTTCTTCTTGATATTTGCCTTTTAGCATGTCATTATATTGCAGATTAATCACTTCCAATTGATGGTTAGAGGGCGGCCTCAACTGCATAGTTAAATGGATTTTGAAATATGTAAATTTTCATTATACTTGCATCAAGGTTCAAAAAATGCTGCTGTAGCTTAAACTCAGAAATGTAACTGCTGTGAATTTGTGTGGGAATGGAAATCTCGCTTGTCGTAACTTTTGATAGCATGGGGAGAGTGTAAAGAAGTGTGGTGTTACTTGTGATTCAAACATTGGCTGTCATTGAAATGACTTTACTGCAGTAGAAGTCTCTCATATAAGCACTCTTGTGCCTTGTAATTTTAGGTTGAATTCATTAAGAAATATTATCAAGTCTTTAGCAACAGCTAATTTCATTGAATACAATTTTTCGATTAACAGTGATAATTGAAGGAAGGTCTTTTTCAGAAAAATTTCAGTCATGGCTCTGAGGTCAACAAGTCACAACCAAAACCTACCCCCAATCATTAAACTGCTGTATGGGAGGAAAAGTCAGGATGTTTCAGTGAAGTTCGCTGTTGATGCTACTGGTTCAGTAACACATAACAGATTAAAATACTTTGCACAGAGTACGTGCCGATGAAGAATACAGTGAATAACCATAGTTTAAATAACTATGTTTAAAAGCTTTACAGGTTTTAAGGCTTCCCTGGTGGTGCAGTGGTTGAGAGTCCGCCTGCCAATGCAGGGGACACGGGTTCGTGCCCCGGTGCGGGAAGATCCCACATGCCGCGGAGCGGCTGGGCCCGTGAGCCATGGCCGCTGAGCCTGAGCGTCCGGAGCCTGTGCTCTGCAACGGGAGAGGCCACAACAGTGAGAGGCCCGCATACCGAAAAAAAAAAAGCTTTACAGGTTTTAAAAGCTGTAAATGTATAGCTTACATTTTCATAATCTTTGTAAATTTGTCCAGCCAACCCTTCTTCTGCTTCCCATGTATTTTTTTTAAAATATTTATTTATTTATTTGGCTGTGCTGGGTTTTAGTTGCAGTATATGGGATCTTTAGTTGTGACATGAGAACTCTTGGTTGAGGCATGCATGCGGGATCTAGTTCCCTGACCAGAGATCGAACCCGGGCCCCCTGCATTGGGAGTGTGGAGCCTTAGCCACTGGACCACCAGCGAAGTCCCTCCCCGTGTATTTTTACTGTCATCATTTGTATTCCACTTCAGGTTTTACTAAATTAGTGTTTTCTCCAGTTCTTTGAAAATATTCTCACCTGTAGTTCCACATACACTATTCTTGGAGGCCAGTTCCTCAGTACCATTGGCTCCTTGAATAAATAGCCGAGCAGTGTGGGAACCATCTGTTGATGCATCAACAGCCAAGGAAAGCCACCCAGAATCATTTGCCTTGTTCTTTAATTGATTATTGATGTTGTTTCCCATGTCCTCAACTCTTTGAGCAACTGTTCTTGCTGAAAGGCTGATAGTCTTAAGCAGGTTTGTTTTTTTCTCAGCACATTTCTTTGGCCGTGCAAACATCCGTGTAAACTGAGGGACTGTCTAGGATCTTGAGCAGAGAAGTGGTGCGTCTGATTGAGAGTCTGAGTCACGTGCGGCGTTGGGAACAGGCGCTGGGGTGGCCAGGGTGGGAGCAGGGAGGCCAGTGCTGTGTGGGCGTGGCTGCTGCCGTCATCTTTCGGCTCGGGTCAGCCTGGTGCTGGGGGATGTGACGCCAAGGGCAGTTTCGGGGCGTGTTTTGCAGGAAAAGGCGACCAGATTGGGTGGGGAGCGTGGGAGGAAAGGTTAGGGATGACACCCTCAGCAGCTGGCTGACAGGGCGTTGACCGCGTGCGGAAGGGTCGTGTTGGAAGGCCACGCCTGAGCTTTGAGGGGTCTGCTGGGCAGTTTACGCCGCTCTCTTTGGCGACGTTTCACTGCTCTGAGCGGGCTAGCAGCTCAGAGCATACGGTGCATCTGTCACGGTTTGGTCAGGAAAACAGAAGCCACTCTAGACTTTTTTTCAATATAGGAACTAGAATCCATCACTTCTGTTGCCATAGGGCTGGCAGGGTTGAAGGTCAAGGAAGCAGCCATTACAGTGAGTGTGTCCCAGGAGCTCATCTGGAATCAGTAGTGATCTGGACAGTTGGAGCCGCTGCTGCTGATCTCAGTGGTTGAAGCAGGTGGTTCCTGGGGTCTCCCTCTGGGACCACTGGGAATTCTCTGTGGAAGCCACTCTATCTCTTAGCTGCCACAGTTGGCGAATTCTTTTTTCTCCCTACGCATCGACCTGCAGCTATGCTTCTGCCCACAGCTGCCTCCTGAGAGTACTTTTCTCACTCATCTTACCAGTCTTGCACAAGTGCCTCTTATTAGTTACATCCAGCCCTGAGTCATGGCAGTAGGGGGTTTTGGGAAACCCAGTTCTGGCTTCTTCTCTGTGATGCACAGGAGAAGGTGGAAGGTGGTGGCTGCGATGCAGGGTTGACAGCAGTCCGTCCAGGACAACAACTGGGCAGCAGGTCTGAACTAGAGACGCATTTTAGAGTTAGCAGGAGACAGCATTCAGAGTGAGCTTGCCTGGGAGGTAAGCACAGCTAAGAGGAGAACAGACAGAGTCCTGGGGGCTCCGGAATTGACTGGTTAGAGAGAGGAGGAGGCACCTGTGAGCTGAGAAGAAAGCAGGGGAAGACGGCATCCTGGGAGCCAAGAGGAGGGGAGAGGAAGTGACCGACTCTTGTCAGGTGAGGCCAGAGTACTGACCACTGGATCGAGCAGTTTGGAGATTCTTGGTGATCTTGGATAGAGAAGTTTCTATGGAGTGGTGGGGGGCAAAGCCCGTGGGTTTAAGAGATAAAAAGAATTTGTGATATTGAGTATATTGGGTGTGTGCTTGTTTATGGGATTATTTGCATAATAACTGCTTTAAAGGCTGCGTGGGCTCATTCTAACATCTGTTTCATTTCAGTATTGACTTATCTTGATTGTCTTTTCCCATGGGAATCAAAGTGTGCCTGGCTCTGCCTATGCCGAATATATGTGGAGCACATCCTCCACATTTAGGGTATTTTGTTAGGGGCTCTTTGTCATATTTAAATCTGCTAATCTGGTGGTGGTTTGAATTCCAATCTCCTTTCCTAATCTACCTGCTACTATGTACTTTTCATTAAATAGCTTCTGCAGTTGCTCCATCCAGGTTTACTTTGCTGTCTCCAGGAGAGACAGGATAGAGTGTGCTTTACTCCTCCTTACCTAGATCTGGGACCCTGCACTTGCACACTGCTTCCATTGTGCAGGGAATGATGGTTTCTGGTTTCATCTGGGCCATTAATGTCCAAATGACTGTCCCTTGATCAGTTACCTCTCTTGGTCCCTACAGGAGATGCTCCTTCTAGTTACTTCCTGAATTTGGTTCATAGGTCCTTCTTTTGGTGTCTCTCTCAGGTAGACAAAATGACCCTTAGATATACCGTAATAACCATTAGTTCTTTTGAGTATGATTGAAGGGTTGACTTGTCTTGAATATATTAACTGTGCCTATTAATTAATTTGAGTAGAATAGTGTTTTGTTAATATTTTTAAGCCTTTTGCACAGTAGAACTTTCTGGGAATGTTATTCGCAGTGCAAAACAGAGCAGTGGTTAAGAGCATGGACTTTGGACAGATTTTACTTTGAGTCTCAGATCTGATCCTTCCTCCCTGTGTGATGGTGACGAGGTTACTTAAACTGTAATTTTGTTATCTCATTTGTTAGGTAGAGATTATCATAACTCTCTTACAAATGTGGTATAACATAGTTCGTACATGGCTAGTCATATAAATAAATAAGGAAAGAATCAACCTGATGTTCAACAAATACAGTTCCTAACAATGTAGATATTTCTGTCGTGGGAATTTGAAGGCTAATCTTTTTTTTTTTAAAAGATTTATTTTTATTTATTTAGGCTGCGCCGGGCCTTAGTTGCAGCATGCATGCCGGATCTAGTTCCCCCACCAGGGATCGAACCCGGGCCCCCTGCATTGGGAGCGCAGAGTCTTACCCACTGGACCGCCAAGGGACGTTCCTGAAGGCTAATCTTAATCATTCTCCGATTTAGTTTGATCACTTTCTCCAAGAACTAGAAGGCAGTTTATATTCATCATTCACTCTGGAGGCATAATAGGCAATCTGTTATTAGTGTTGTTGTTAATATTGTTTTTTCTGAATTTAGTAACTTCACCTCTTCTCTCTTGTTAATGTATTCACTTAGTCATTAGTTTAGTACCAGGCATCTCAGAGATGCCTGAGACACTGCATCCCAACCTGTGAGCAGCACCACAGTCTAGTATTAGAATATTTTTGGCTAGAAAATTAGTTTGAAGCATAAAGAAGCTTTTGTTTGCCCAGATGATTTTCATAATCATATTCACATTCTTTATATATTTTTGGTTTTTCAGAAAGTTACTTCTGATCTAGTATTTTTTAGAATACAGGTTGCAGCTTGCCTACGTACAAAACTGTTGGTAGACTGAGCTTAGAGGAAGGGCAGCCTGTGTGAAATGGTTGTATATTTTGGACACTGGAGACCGTCACAGTTAACTTAAATTGTTACGATGTTATGGGTTAAGAAATAGTGGGTTTCGGCCTTATTTTGCACTTAGCATCAAACGACCAATTCTTCTCCAGGAGTTCAGCCTACATGCTTAATTCGAGCCAGATAACTTATAATTTGTCAGTGTGTCATGTTGAATGTTACTCAGCTTTAGGAAGAGTTTTTCTGCTGTGCTTGCTTTGGAAAGCCCAGATCATGTTCATTGTTTTAACAGTAATATTATCTGGTTAATTTGGGAAACCAGGATAGCATCATGATTTTAAAAGTGCTGTTAAGCTAGTGTTTGAACCCCTGATCTCTCCCTTGCTCGCTGTGTGACCTTGAAAATTTCTTAGTTTCTTTCAGACTTAGCTTTCTTATGTGTAAAATGGGGACACTAATAGTACCCAGCTAGAGGCGTGGGGAGCTAGAACTTACAAAGCTCTTAGGAGAAAGGCCGTCACTGTATGATGATTAGGGCTGTTATTGAGACTTACTGAGAGACGGATGTTAGAAAGCTGGCCACGCTGGATTGTGCATTGAAATGGGGACACTGCAAGCAAGGCGATGGAAGGAAATATTGTCCCTGTTAGTGACACACAGATTTAGAGTGTGAGACTGGTGGGAAATTTTAGTTTGCGTGTTAGAAAGGGGAAGGGGTTCAGAGCAGTCCGGGTGTCTATTTATACCCATCATAAAACACACCATTCATGCCCAAAATGTAGAGAGTATCCATCTTACAAATATCTTCAGGGACCTGGCAGTGTATTTTATTGTATAGTGAGACAAGCTTAGTTTCTGTTTATCTATCTGGAGTAAAAGATTTTATTTATGTATTTTAATTATACAGTTTGGGAAATATCTAGTTTTCTGCTCTGTTTGAACTAGTTCAAATTTTTATGCTTATATTTTATCAGTTTTGTAGTTAAAATGCATAGCTTCATATTCTTAATAAAGATAGATTGGCTCATGTGATAAACAGGAGTGCTGGAACTCAGCATGCACTGGGTGTCCCACTGCTAACGTGGCAAGTGAGCAGGCCTCCTGTTGCTTAAAATGAAATGTTGTTACTTACTTGAATTCTCCTTAAAATACAGTATGAAGCAAAGAGCAGTTATGACGCACTCAAAATCTAGTGTATCCATTCATTTATTCAGGCATTATCACTCATGCATCGAGTACATGTTTATTGATTAAGTACTCGACGTGTTTGATACAGTGTATACTATTGGGTATATAGTGGTGAACAAAAACCAGACCTGGGGAGTGTTTTGCCTTTCACAGCAAGAAGAAAGCCAGTTGTAAGAGACTTGCATTTCAATGAATGGAGTTTTCAGCTTTGTACTCCTCTAATAGAAAAGAGGTCAAAAACAAAGAAGAAAAGAAAAGAAAAGGCAGAGGGCCTCTAAAGAGCACATGTTACTTACCTCCTGCCACTGACTGGAGTTTTTTTGACCTTAACTTTGGTTTTATTTAATAGTGTGTCGGTCCTGAGGCTGCAGAGCTGAAAGAGGCTGCCATTGTCCCTAGAATCTTGCTGTTTGGGTGGAGGGAGAGGCTGACAGATTGGGTCGGATTTAACATCCACTCTAGTAAGCATGTTAAACCGGAAGCTACACCCCAAGGGTCCTTGGGGACAGGGCCGTGTCTCCCCTGTTGACTGATGTGTAGTCCAGTGCCCGGTACCATGCATGGCATGTGTCAGTCACTCCAGAGATCCCTCTGTCAGTGATGGGATGCTGGGGGAGTGCAGGAGAGAGGGACGTGGCTCCCTCCAGGTGTGCATCCTGGTTCAGCCAGGGCAGGAATATCCAGGTGGAGGGACCTGCAAATGGCATAGAGGTGTGAGGGAGGGCACATGTGTTCTGTAAACTGGAAGTAGTTTACCTTTGCTGGAGTGTAGGATTCCTAGGAGACTGATGTTGAGAGATGTTAGGACTCTGGAGAGTTAGATTGGGCTTGATCAATAAGGGCCTCATGTCATAACGTGCAGGAAGCCAGATTCCCTAAGGCCCAGGCTGACACTTTTCATATTACATAATGCATGCCGTGTCAAAAAGCATCATCATGTCTCGGGGTACCAATCCATTAGTGATAACTTGCCTATTGAAATTCTGTAAGCCATTGGTGAACTTTTCATCTTTTGGGGAGGATGAGGATATAGAATAAATATTTGTTTTCTCAGGAATAAAAATAGTTGAGACTCTTGAAGGCCAAGCAAAGTCTGTATGTCTTTGACTTCTAGTTCGCTAGAAGCATGCCAGGTATGTAGAGTAGGTACTCAGTACGTGAATAAACGCAGAAAGATCCTTGCTTTCATGTGCACTGCTGTAGCAAGCATTACACTGGGTTCTGGAGCGTGATCGCTGAGAAATGACCCTCTGCAAGGTCTCCAGGCCAGTGAGGGGCAGAGAGAAGCAAGTCATTGGTGATGGGACAGCAGGTGAGTACGTTGTAGAGAGACGCACAGGGTAAGTGTGATGGATAGTCACCTTCCTCTGACCACTGAATCCCGTGTTCTTAGTTCTTTTTATGCCTGCTGCTTATTTTCCCCATACTTTCCGATAGCCTTTTAGTAAATCTTCCACAAGGTCAGTCACATAGACTCTTCACATTCTCTTTCTGGGATATGATTTCCTGGAGATCTCTGTTTTCTTCTTTTCTGAGCTGGTTGCTCCTTACGCCTTTTCCTGTGGTGTTGCCCCTGGATGTTCCTTTGCTCTCATCCTTTGGCTTTTCTCCAGAGTTGAGTTTCATGTTTGTGGTATCGCTTGTGTGTGTGTTTCTTGACTGACTTCTTCGTTTGGGTGGCACACACCATACAGAGGTGAATCACTTTAGAAAGGTGGTCCAGTGTCTTTGGGCAGGTGCGGCAGCCTTCCAGATTCCTTTCTCACGAGGCACGTTGCTCCGACTGTCCTGTCCTGCCGCGCAGCTCCCGTTCTGGAACCTCCTTTCACTGTTGCCCTGGAGATGCCCTTATCTCTGCATGGACGCTGGTGTTTGTCCATGGCTTCCTCCTACTTTGTTATGCTCACATTTTGGTGGAGGACTTGCTCCAGTGGCTTCCTGAGGTAGGACGCTTAAGAGGCAGAAAGTTGGAGAGTGAGCGTGATGGAGAAGGTGATTGGTGGTGTGGCCGGTGTGGAGTTCTGTGTTGGCATCGCTCTGCTCCGTTGCCTCCTGTGCGCCATGTTACTGGTTTTCAGTTCAGAAGCTTATTCTAATTTTTTATTCTTTGTATGTAACTTTTTTCCTTTCCATCTTTAGAAGCTTGTAGGAATTAAAAAATTTGTCCAAGTCTTTTTAAATGGCATGAAGTGTGGGTCTCTTTTCATCTACTGTTCTGCTTGTCTAGTGGGGACCTTCATTCTGGTAACTTTTATCCCTCAGTTATGGGAAAATTTTTTCAAGTTATTGTGCTGAAGATTTTCTCCCTTCTGTTTCCTTGTTCTGTCTTTCTGGAAGTCTTGTTATCCACAACTTGGGTGTTATAGACAAGTTCTGTAATTTTCTTATACTTTCACTCCAGTATACTTTTCTTCCCACCTTCCCTCCCTCCCTTCCTCCCTGCCTCCCTCCCTCCCTCCCTCCCTCCCCCTCCCTCCCTTCCTTTCTTCCTTCCTTTTTATTTTGCTTTCAGGGAAATGTCTTCAATTTGACTTAACCTTCTTCTTTAGTTTTTTATTTCTGTGCTCAGGTTCTTTAATATCCAAGAGTACTTCTTTTGTTCTTTTAAAAGAACATCCTGGTTTTTTTTTTTTTACATCTTTATTGGAGTATAATTGCTTTACAATGGTGTGTTAGTTTCTGCTTTATAACAAAGTGAATCAGTTATACATATACATATGTTCCCATATCTCTTCCCTCTTGCATCTCCCTCCCTCCCACCCTCCCTATCCCACCCCCCCAGGCGGTCACGAAGCACCGGTCACGAAGCACCGAGCTGATCTCCCTGTGCTATGCGGCTGCTTCCCACTAGCTATCTACCTTACGTTTGGTAGTGTATATATGTCCATGCCTCTCCCTCGCTTTGTCACAGCCCACCCTTTCCCCTCCCCATATCCTCAAGTCCGTTCTCTAGTAGGTCTGTGTCTTTATTCCTGTCTTACCCCTAGGTTCTTCATGACATCTTTTTTTCTTAAATTCCATATATATGTGCTAGCATACGGTATTTGTCTTTCTCTTTCTGACTTACTTCACTCTGTATGACAGACTCTAGGTCTATCCACCTCATTACAAATAGCTCAATTTTGTTTCTTTTTATGGCTGAGTAATATTTCATAGAACACCCTGTTTTTGTTTATTGATTGCAGTGTCTTCTTATCTCTAGGTTATTGATTGTATAGTTTCTGTTTCTTTCAAGTTATTTCCCTCCTTGCTTCCTTCCCTCCCACCCTCCCACCCCCATCCTTCCGTCTGCCATGGACTGGGCCTTTTGACTTTTACATCAGGATATTCTGGGTGGACCATTTGTTGGGGAATCCCCAGTGTATCTTTAGATCTTTCTCCTTGGCCTGAACAGATTCCCCAGACTCTTATCTGTAGAATTCTGGGGGCTGAGTGGGTGGGTGGTGGGAAGCTGAAGCATCCACCGTTGAGTTATGTACGCTGATGAAGTCCGCCTGTGTTAGTGCAGCTGGACAGGGGGACTTCAGTCCAGAGACCACGGAGTGACCATGCAGTCTGTGTCAGAGACGGTGTTGAGGTTCTGGCTGTGGCTTAAGCAGCTTCACCTGCTCCTCTGTGTTTAGGCCTCCACCTTCCTCACCCCCAGTTGTCTGCACGGGTGCTGCCAGTTCTGAGCCTTCTGGGATACCGATGTGTAAATGGAATTGGGTCTTAGTTTTTTCCACTGCTGGCTTAGCATCTGGCTTTCTTGGCCTGCTGAGTCATTTACTATGCTTACAGTCTTTCATAGTTTCCGTTTCCTCCAAGATTTTTTCTTCTTTTTTCTTATTTGTTTTGTTTTGGTTTTTATCTTCCATGCGAGAAACTTTTCTCACAGCTTCCAGAATTCCCTTTCTTTTTCTCCTTTCAGTTCTGCCTGAGCTATGTTTTGTTTTTAAAATTTTTTATATCTCTTTAGTGTGATTTTGGTGGGAGAGGATGAAATAGATGTATATATTGTTGGTGATCTTACCCTGAACTTATTCGCTAACTTAGTGACTCATTAATATGTGCTTCTTGATATGTTTTAATAGTTTTCAGTTTTGCACATTATTTTCTTAACTGGAGTGTAGGTTTGAAGACAGGGACTTGATAACATGTTTTTATCCCTCATTCCAGGTCTGGCATGGTATGCGTGGTAGGTATTGAAGCTGACTGTGAGGGGATGAACACAATAGAGCTTTGAAGAAGTGGTGGCGAAGACGGTTTTATAAACGCACGTTGTCTTTTCTTGTCAGGTTCTTTCTGACCGCTATGGAAAGAGGAAAGAGAAACTAGGAGTATTTGTAAATCATCGTTTGACTTCGTCACAGAGTTATGGTGGCCTTCTGAACTGTGAGTCTGATTCTCTTGCCACACTTGTGTCTTGGTTTTTTGTTTTGCTTTGATTTTTCTTTCCCCTATCTTAGGGTTTCTTTGACACACAGTAGAAACTAACAAAAGGTAGTGAATTTTGCAGAGTAAGTGAGAGAAAAAACAAAAGTTATTTAGTACCTTCTCTGTATAGATACTATGTATATATTTTTGCTGAGGTAGTGTAATAATAATGATTAACAACAACAGTAACATCGCATGCTTTAAAATAGTGCCTGGTGCCTTATAAACACCAAGTTATAGCTGCTGATGGGTCCTCACAATAACCCCGTGAGTGAGGCCGCTCCTCTCCCCTCTTTCACGTTTGCATAACTTAAGTACAGAGAGGTTAAAGGTTACTAAGCTAGTAAATGCAAAGCTGGGATTCAGACTCAGTCTGGTTCAGAGCTTGTGCCCTTTACTCTGGTACCTGATTCTCATGGGCTCTGGATTCAGATGGCAACTTAGCTACTTACTAACTCTTGACTAGCTACCTAAACGTAGCTTTCCCATCCAACAAACAGTGTTTTGATAGCACCTCCCAGGGTGGTGAGAGGTGTGTAAGGTGCTCAGCACTCACAAATGTTAGCAGTTACTCCGTGGGAGTTTTCCCGTTTTAATGAGAGGAAGACTGGGCTCTTTGTAATTTGTAACTTCGGAATTTGTTTTATGCTCCACCGCTGGGAAGTTGTAAACTTGAGATTCTATCCCAGTTTGTCATTTCCAAAAACTGCTCTTTCTGGTTAGTTTAGTGGTAAATCAAGGACAGACAGTTGGTAGACGATTCATACATCTCTCCTGGGGTATTGGCATTGGTAAGCACTTTGTTGTACCAATATGTTGTGTTGGTAAAAGCCTCATGAACTTGGACTTCATGGATTCAGTATTCATGACAATTTATAACTGTGTTGAATTTCACTTTGGCCAGTGTCCTTGTCTTGGATGTCCGAGTGGCAGGGCCCTGGTTGTTTTCCCATTTCCTTCTGAAGGTCAGCTCACTTTCCTCCTTTGTTCTCTTTCTTCCCAAGCCACTTCTGTTTCTACGGAGGCTAGGTATTAGGGAAGGGAAATTATGTCATGCAGTTTCAATTTCCTAGCAAGGCCCGTAAGTCTTACTCCTGTTTTTCCAATTCCCGCTGCTCTTTATGGGCTGCCAGAGGAGCCTCTTCTGCATGGCTGTGCCAGGTGTAATTGTGCCGCAGGTCGTGAGGTGACAGCCTTGTTTCATTCCCTCCTCCCAGTCCAGATGATATGTTTCTTCCTGTAACTGTAACATTTATTTGGGTGAAAGTCTGTTTCCTAGAGTCTTCGAAATAAAAAAGATTTTATTTCACCTCTGCATCTTTTCTGCTTGACCCGTAGGTGGTTTTTGCTAAATGCTGAATGAAGGAATATTTAATGCTTGGCACAAAATAAGTTCTCTTAGTAGATCCAAACAAGAGGCAGAATATCAAGTGTAGCTTTTCAGCAGCATTAGCGCTTAAAAATATCTCATCTTGGTATAGCACAAGACGGTTACATGAGGGGGCAGTATTTAGTAGAAGTTACTCAAAAATCTTCTTTTTGATATAATACGCAGTGGAAGAAAAGCCTGACGGGAGGGGGGTGAGATGCCAGGCCAGCTCCTGATGGACCAAGAGCCTCTGCCCCAGCTCCGTGGAGCTTTTAGTACCAAGACATAATCTACTGATTCTGCGTTGGCTCTTTTTTTTTTCTCCCCCAGTGTTTGAAAATATATAAGCCTAGGAAACTAACCTTCTAAACAGTGTTCCTGTAATTGTTTCCCCCAGCTCCAGACAAACAGTCAGACCACATGAGTAATTCTGGCCTCCCCCAGAGTGAGTCCAGAGCTGTGATGCTGAGGTCCGGGCCCCTGGATCTACCTGAGTGCCCCATCATAAGCCCCTGGCCCGCCTGAGCCCCTGCAGAATGGCTCTGCTCCCGAAGCTGCTTTGCCAGAGCTGGCTCTTGGTTCTTGCTGTGTTTTGGGGTGTTGGGCTAGAAGGCAGGGACTTGGGATGGAGGAGTTTACAACCACAACCCTAAGAAAGCAAAGCAAAGTTTTGGAGAAGCGGAGTTGCTGAAATATGTATGGAGATCATTTTCAGGGTTAATGGTTTGTGGGAAGGTGGTAGACAGAAGGAAGGCTGCCTTGAGACCCTCTGAAGACCCCCATTTTGTGAATAAAGACATCTTTTAAGCATCTCGTGCCCCCCTCCTGGAGGCCCCTGGAATCCTCCGCTTTAGACGTTTCTTTTAGCGTTTGCATCCATGTTTCCTAACTATATTTCTGTACTAGTCAGGAGTCACTGATGCATCAATTTTAGAAGAAGTTACATTTTCAACTTTGCTATATAGTTAAATCACAATTTTTGTTTAGACCCATAATTTAGTTTTTAATTTTTCTTGACTTTGTAAACATTGCTCACTGTTGAGCCAGTTAATTCAGTGTGATTACGTTTCCTTTTTTGTTCAACTTTTTGTTTTCCTGCTTTCTTGGACCTCTAATGGCCACATTTGTTTTCTGTTTGCTTAATATTCTTAAGTCTGGCTAAGAGTTCTCACCTCCTCTCCTAGCTCTGTAAGTAAGGCTGATCAAGTATTTTAATTCTGTCTCAGCCCCGGACACACCTGCCCTTTCCCTGCCTCCTCTGGACAGATGTTCCTCCTGCCTGCTTGAAGAACATAGGGCAGATGGGGCAGGAGCAGGGAAACAAGGTAGAAACGTTGATGGAGAAAAGTATGGTGGAAAGTGCAGAGGGAGGGGACGACTGTCTTCCTGGGGGAGCCTGCAGGGAAAGAGAAGAAAGGCTGGCTGTGGCTGTGGAAGGGCATTCCAGGTAGAGAAAGTGCAAGAATAAGCACAGAGATGGACCTAGATTGTACAGAGACTGTACATATTAACCGAGTTACAGACTCTACCCTTAAGAGATTTAAACAGGTTTACATGGGAAATGTGATTCAGATTGTTAAATGTCTGATGTAAATTTTTAATGTTGTCCTAAAACCTGAGCATAGGAGATATCAGGACACTTGAATCCAAGTGATAATCTTAAACTGTTGATTTCATGTATTGATTCATGGAAAAAAATCCTTATAGAGCACCTGTCACAAAAAATAAAATTGGCATCTGGCTGTCCAAACCAGTCATTGGCGCCGGACTGTGCTGAAGCTACGCTCCGTTTGTCAGGCAAGAACAGGGCATTTAAGAAGCTGTTCTAGAAGCTGTTCCACATTTGGCTGCACTGGGAATGTGGCAAGCAGAGTGGGTGGAAAATGTCACTGAGGTGTGTACGCATCAGTCTAATTTGTATGGCATAGCTGTAGCATCCTGGAGGAAAGTAAGCCGTTCGTGATGAGGTCATGCGAGACCAACGGTGATTAGATGAGATCCTTTTGCAAAGAAGTGTCAGTGCATTTGAAATGCTGAGGCAAAATCGTAAGAAATAAGGTCCACAGAGGCTTTCATGATTGCCAGCTCCAGGGCACCTCTTATGTAAACACCTGGTAGTTTTCATGTGTGGTCGGGACCCTGCACCTGCATTTAGTTCAGTGCGTCCAGTGTGTGCACGTTACCTGCTGTGTGAGCCTCCAGTTTCATATGCACAGCTCTCTGAAGAGTGCATCTTTATCTTTCCAGTCTCACATTGTGATTCAGGAACTTTGGGTGAATGTAATAATCATAATAGCTGCCATTTATGTGTCAGTCGTTGTGTGAGTTAGAATATTATTTAATTTTTTATAGTAATTCAGGAACGTAGCAGTTACTATTCACGTTTTGTAGATGAGAAACGGGACTTAGAGATGTTAAGAAACTTGCCCAAGGTTTCATATGGTGGTTATCGAGTTTTCAGGTTCCTTTGCAGTAAGTCTTAGCCCTTGGCGCTCCTGCATGTGGGTCGTGCTTTCATAGCGAGGAGCGTCGTGCTGCCTGCTCAACTGCCCGTGGACCTTCCCGCAGCACTGTGCTTCCTTTCTGTGCTGTCAGCCACGTGTCGACCACGATGCGTGTATTCAGCGTGTATGTATCGCCCATGCTGACTTGCATTACCACTGTATCTGCAGAGCTCTTCAGGTAGTTGCCAATCAGGTGTTCCTGGCTCATACTACGGAAAGAGTGAGGTTTCAGCAAATACTTGTAAAAATAGGGAAATTGGTCCATTCCTGTCCCTAAAAGTGGGGAGACAGCTTTTCCTGTGGTGTTTACATTCAGAGTAAGGAGAGGAAGGGATTTTTTTTCTTTCTACCTGTTTTGGCATATCATAGATATTTTTTTTAGGGGGGCAAGTAGGGTGTTGGGAATTGGGATGGTAAGGAAGCATTTTAGATTTTTGTCTACTCATGAATTCTAAGTGGCTTATCAAAATATGCAAACTTTTCAGCATTTCTTCTTTGATTAACTGTATATTAAAAAGAGGATAGATGTCTCACTAAAAAGAACAAAAATTTGCCACTTGCAGCGACGTGGATGGACTTGGAGGGCATTATGCTAAGTGAAATAAGTCAGACAAAGAAAGACAATACTGTATGTTATCACTTACATGTGGAACCTGAAAAAATACAACAAACTAGTGAATATAACAAAAACAAAAAAGCCTCACTGATGTAGAGAACAAACTAGTGATTACCACTGGGGAGAGGGATTGGGGAGGGGCAGTATAGGGGTAGGGGAGTAAGGGGTACAAACTATTAATAAAATAAACTACAAGGATATATTGTACAACATGGGGAATATAGCCAATGCTTTATAATAACTGTAAATGGAGTATAACCTTTAAAAATTGTGAATCAGGGCTTCCCTGGTGGCCCAGTGGTTAAGAATCCGCCTGTGAATGCAGGGGACACGGGTTTGAGCCCTGGTCCGGGAAGATCCCACATGCGGCGGAGCAGCTAAGCCCATGCACCACAACTACTGAGTCTAGGGCTCTAGAGCCCGCGAGCCACAACTGCTGAAGCCCGCGCACCTAGAGCCCATGCTCCGC